GTGTGTGTGTTTAATGTGTGTGTGTTTTGTGTGTGTGTGTGTGGGTGTGTGTGTGTGTGTGTGTGTGTGTGTGTGTGTGTGGTGTGTGTGTTATAAAACAATCTTTTTCAGTATAAATTGAATCATAAACAAACCTCCAGTTTGGTTGAAGCGCCGCTTGAAATGTCAAGGTGACTTTGAAGGTCTGCTGGACCCACAGTTCTCAGTTCCTCTCCAAGTATTCAGCTCTCATCTGTGACTTTCTTCATCCAGTCCTGTTTGGGTTCTACTCTCTTGGTGTTACTGTCGTATGTCCTACTGAATATCATCAACCATCCCAACAGCCACAAACTCTGGGAAGTTTGTGACTTCAGAAGACGCCGTGAAGAAATACTTCAGAGTGCATCACTGTAAGGACAAAATGTTTTCATCAGTTTAATCTGAAACTTTTTGCATCATTGAACAAAAGTTATTATCCAGCACACAGAATCAAAAAACACTTCCAGTACATTCAACCAAACCTGATCATCTCTCTGCAGTCATTAAATACTCCAATTAATTTAGAGATGAAAAGAAAAAGTTCTCCTGGAACTCTTATTCTGATATTTCTGATTCAAGTGTTAGAAAATGTTTTTATACTGAAATTATTTATTCAACAAGTCAAATATTCAAGTGATGCAGTCATGCCCCTGACTTTCATTGACAGATATGTTTCATTAAGTGGATTTTTTATTGACTTCTTGACATCTCATGACTAGTCCTCACGTAGGCGGGTTTTTATTATTTGAGTTTTGAAAGGACAGTGTTGGAGGACAGCAACAAAGAAAAACTATTGAACAGTATATGGAGCACAGTTTAAGAAGCTGTGTAGACTGAGTGGAGCTGCACAATCAGCCAGCGCAGAAAAACTCAATTAGAAAAAACTCAACTAAAAAACTTCAACTAAATGACAGATCATTTCTGAATCCTGCATGTTGTCTGCTTTCTGAATGCACGTCGATCATTGTTCTGTTTTTAATCTGCTCTTTAGAAAAATATGCACTGCTCAGAACAAAAAAGCTTTTAGATAAATCTGTGCAGGAATAAATGTAACCACTTTGAATAAAGTCTACAAACTTTGTAGTCTTATTAATGCTGAATTGTTGAGGCTGCTGTGGATGTTTTTTTGACTTTCACAGATTAAAACCATTTATTTCTTTTTGTGTGGGAAACACAAACTGAGCTGTGACGTTTCAGTTTGAGAATAAAGTCGTGACTGCCCTCTGGTGGACAAACTCTGTAATGCAGACTCTGTTTCTAAATGATGTTCAAGCTGCTTCACTGTTTTCTGTCACTTATCGGCCAACATAAGCACAGAAAACTAAATATGTGCAATAAGCTCACATCAGCAGATATGTGTTTCTAGATCCACTAAACAGTCTGATGTTTGACTTCAATGAAATGTTGGAGCTTCAGGGTTTATGTGATCTCAACTAAACAACAAACAAACATGTAAAAGATGAAGATCATCTGTGGAATAGCTTTGAGCTTATTCATATTTCATATACAAATATTCAGAGGTAAAACAATAAACCGAGATTAACTTCATTTTGAGGGTCAGGAGGTTGATTATGTTTCTGATTCTTTGAGCACATATTTGAGTTTGATCCTCACAAAATGAACTTTAATGACTGTGACACTCTGATTATATGTTAATTATCACAATTCATTCAAGTGAAATAAGTATTTATACCACATTAATTATACTACATTAATAACAAAACACTTTTTCTAACATTAAAGTGTCATGAAGGACTTAAAGAGTCCATTTAAATGCTCTGTTAATGGTTTTAGAGGTGAAACACTTTGAAGGCATTTAGTTCCTTTTTCTTTCTGAATCAGAGTCTATCTGCTGTGTTCACTGTAGTTATGCTGCTATTTTAACATTCATGGTCCTATAACATCCAGAAGAAATCACTGTTACTGTTCTGACAAAAAGAGGAATGTCTGTGTCTTATATTTACTGATGTCAACAGCGATGTGGGTGAACATGACAATTGAAAATTAATATTTAGTATTATTATAAGATATTTGTTTTCTATAGAACAACGTGAAGTCATGGAGTCTGTGGCCAGCGACGAATGCCAAGTGTCACCTGCACACCAAAAACTGTAAGTATTAGAAAACATAGTGTTATCTATTATTATGAGTTGCAGCTACCTTGTTCAGTATTATTCCTGCAGTGTGGTGGAAATGACGGTTAAACTGAGTGACAGATATATTTTGAGTAAAAATTCATATTTACACACAAAATACTAACATGTTTTTGATTGTTTAAGTGCTACTTAACACAAGTACATCAACATTGATATGATTAATCACGATTTATAACTACATTTTCATTGTTGAACATATGAAGTTCGGGTGTGGGACAAGGGCAAAACAGTGATATTGAAGCATATAAAGATGTTGAAAAGTAAGTAAAATACATATTGGAGAGAAGGTAAAAACATTTAAGACAGTTTTATTGTTTATTTATCAAAGAGAATGTGAAAGTGTTTGTAGTCAAAGAACCACCCTTATAAAGACATGCGACATTTCCCTCTTTCCATTAAATCGTCTTCAATGAATCTGAACTCACCTGCCGTCGTGTCGTGGAGGAATAATCCCACGAGAGACACAAACACCAGAGTCTTCATTGTGACCTGTGAAGTCTTCAGCTTCGTCCAACTTCAAACATTTATGTTTCTCATCAACTTCTTCAGAATCTGCATGTTTCGAGCTCTGAGGGTGAAATGAGGTGAGGAGAAGAAAGAACGCTGTCTCAGCCAATAAGAATTCAGCCTGAGCATCGATGTCACCAGTGTAAGCGACGTGTGTGTATGTGAAGGAATAAATCAGTCCAAACAGGTTCTGGATCTTTCTCATAACTTTAGTCAGCTTCTCCGACACACGGTACATTCCCCAACAGGGATGGCAACTTCAATGATAGGGAGGGCCACAAAATGTTATCCTCATACCAGAGGGCCAAATGTCAGCGTGCACTTCTACCAGTAGGATTCTATAACCCCATATTTTAATTACCTAGCTATAGCTACTAATTTAATGAAAGAACAAATAGATATACTGGCAATCAGAGTTTATTATGCCAAATTTCTATTTTTCAACATTTTTTCCAGATTAATTGTCTCTTAGCAGGAAAACACAAGGCTCGCTTTCAAGCTAACATTTCTTTTACAACATTTCTATTCATCCATATTTAAATGCATTTAATAATGCTTCTACTCCTTTAACATCTCCATTTTTCATATTTAAATGCATTTAGTGATGCTTCTACTCATTTAATGAGCTTAACACGAAGAAAATCAACATCCACATTTTTGTTTTATTTATTTATTGCACAAAAAAAAACATAAACATAATAGATCAATGGAAAACAGACAGTACATAATGATTAGTTAATTAACAAACTATACATTTTGAAAGAAATGTGCTGGAGGAGCCAAATAAACCCAGAGGGGCTCGTTGAGTGGCCCTCCTAAAGAGAAACATGTAACACAGAGACAATTATTAATGTAGTCCAAGCAAAAACAATAAAGCTAACAAGAACACATACTCAATAAGGTGTAAAAGAAAGCAAAACAAGAAAGAGACAAATTAAAGAAGAGGGAAAAAGGAAAATAAGCTCTTATGGCAGAGAAAGATTATGATGCCGCATTGGTTAATTGTCCAAGCAGGAAATAAATGGTTTGTTTTTTAAATAAGTTGAGGCTGGTGCTGTTTCTAATATGATTGGGTAAATTGTTCCAACAATGAGGTCCTCTGAATCTGATAGAGAATTGAGAAAACGATGTCCTGATAAATGCAGAATGAAGTAAGTTGGCTGACCTTGTGTTGTAATGATGGATTTGAGAATTTAATTGAATATATCTTGAAAATAGATGGGGAGTAAGTTGTTGACTGATTGGAAAACAAAAATACATAATTGAAACTGGTTTAGGTGGAAGATGGGGAGAATTCGTAGGGACTGGAACAAAGGAGTAGAGCTGCTAAATCTGTTGGAGAAAGTGATCATTTTGATGAACCGTTTTTGCAGAGAAAAACTGCAGTTGAGGTTGCTTTTAAAGGTGCTAGCCCAAAAATGTTACAGTATGAGATGTATGGATAGATCATAGTGTAATATAAATTAAGAAGGATTTTTCTTGATAACAGATGCATTATTCTTCTGATGACTCCAATATTTTTGCTATTTTGCCTGAGATAAGTGTTATGATTTTTCCAGGTGAGATTTTCATCTATGAGAATTCCAAGAAATTTAGTAACGGTTACCCTTTCTAAGATATTATTGGCAATATATACATTGGGAAAAGTAAATTTGGTCTGTAGGTTTCTGGGTATAAATAACATGTATGAGCTTTTTTTGTATTGAGTGATAATTTGTTTGCCTTAAACCAGGTGTCAACTTTACTTAATTCACTGTTCATTTCGGACACCAATCTTTGCCCATCACTACCAGATAGACAAATATTGGAATCATCAGCAAACAAGATGAAAAATGCTTTCTTTGAGATCAAATACAAACCATTATTAGAAATAAGAAAGAGTAAATGACCAAGGAATTAAAGAAATTAAACTGTAATCAGATGAAATATTATTCCAGGTTCCAAATTGCTTTCTAACTGACAAGTAACTTTTGAACCATAACAGATCTGTACCACTTAAACCATAATGAGAAAGTTTCTGCATTAGAATATCATGGTTGACTGTATCAAATGCTTTTGATAAGTCAATGAACACACTGAGAGTGATTTCCTTATTGTCAAGAGATTTAGTAATGTTGTCAAAGAGTTGGGTCAGGGCCATCGAAGTTGAATGTTTTTCTCTGAATCCATACTGATGTGTATAAAGAATATTATTGTCACTAAAATATTTAAACATGCGGATGTAGACTAGTTTTTCCAGAACTTTAGAAAAGCATGGAAGGATAGATATCGGTCTGTAATTGGAAAATAGGGATGGATCATCTGCTTTGACGAGTGGAATGACTTTAGCCCATTTTAATTGATCGGGAAATACACCAGTTTCAAGAGAAAGATTAAAAATATGAAGGATTGGTTTGGTTATGTATGGAATGCATTTTTTAAAGATTGAAGATTTCAGCTCATCATGACCTGGAGCAGTTGATTTGAGTTTGTTAACGACATCCACAAGTTCAGACTCAGTGATGGGAGATAATACAAAGGAAGAGGAGGGTCTCTTAATACCAGAAATAGATAATGAAATCTGTGACATTTTGTCTGCAAGCGAAGGACCAAATATTCACAAAACAATTATTAAATTCATATATATTCATTCATATTAATAATATAAACAAAATATCATTAAACTATGTTTAATCTCGTTTTGGGGCACCAACCTGTACTCAGGTAAATATAACCAAAATATCACTCAAATCAGTCTCAAATTAGTTATTTAATTACTAATATTATTAATAATGAATAACTATATTTAATAAATTGAAGGCGTGAAATCCGTACACAAAGCCTTCGCACCCAGCTTATATCACAATGCAAATAGACCAGTAACCACAAACAACTGCTCTCTTAAATTATAACAGAATTTATTTAAACAAAGCAACACCAATAAAAATCAATGTACTTAATCAAACAAATCACTATCATAAACTAACCTAATCAACAAACATTATCAAGCAAGGCTTGTGGATGAGGTGTAAATGTGTGTGTGTGTGTGTGTGTGTGTGTGTGTGTGTGTGTGGATGAGAGAAAGAGAGAGAGAGAGAGAGAGAAAGAGAGAGAGAGAGAGAGAGAGAACAAGATGGTGGAGAGAGACAATGCACCATGCGGCTTCGTCACATGGTGACAAAATGGTGGACAACAAAAAGAAGCCGTGTGGCTACCTTTTGAAATAGTTTGAGCTCTCTGAGCTGAGTTCAGTAACTGTTACTTAAACACCAGAAAGCCAGTGGCCAGACTTTGATTCAACGGCGGGTACACTGGTCTTTCTGATTGTGAAAGCCGTTGACTGAAGGTAAACTAGCATAGCATTACATACATAGGTGAACACAGCAGTTCATCACAATAAAACAAATGCAGCAGCTTACAACAGATAATAAACAGAATGTGACGTGTCGTCAACAATGATGCATAATTATCAGTGGTTATAAAAGAAACATAACTATTTCTGAAACTATTTCTGCCCAGACCAAAGCTCTTACTTGGGGTAACTCCTGGTGATCGTTGCAAAGTTGGTTAGATCGTCACTCTGTTGAATGTTAGATCAACAGATTCAGGCAGGTTTCCTTCGTGGCAGATGTAGGAGGAGGGTAGCGGGATTCAGATCTTCGACCAGAGCACTGCTCTGTGGTCTTTTGGTTGCAGGAGCCGAGTTCTCTATGTGTTCTTGTGGATTCAGGGATCAGTGGGCTTCCTTCAGCGCTCCTGTCCAGTTGCGTTCAATGACGTCTTACGAAAAATCAAAGGAAAGAAACTCTTCTTTTTGCTCGAACCTGATAGCATCTGATTGCACCCAAAACTCCTAAAAATATGCCATGGAAATAGTCAGCTGAATCCTCTGATGCTTGAATTCAGCATGTGAAGAGCTACCTATACTGAGCAACCTCAGCTCTGGAGTTTAACCTATGTAAGTCAAGAGGAAAGGCTTTGTCTCGAATGATGGAGTCCATCTTGTTGGAGAGTGTATCCTCTGGTGTCAGCAGACAACACTTGAAGGCCTGAGTCCTTTGTTGCACACACATGGCTGAGGCCCAACAGCAGTAAGTGATTCAATTTATTTCTGGATGTTTTGTAGCGTTCCAAAAACAGGGGTGAGGGATTAGTAAAGTAGTCCCGACACAGTTTATTTTTCTTGGCAATAGAACGCTTTAAGCTGTTTGTTAACCAGGTTTTGCATGGGTTGGTGGAATTTTTTCTCCTTTGAAATGGAAAAGTCTTAGAGCTGCTGACTCCTGCTGCTGCTGTGAGGCCTGGTAGCTGCTGCTGCTGTGAGGCCTGGTGGCTGCTGCTGCTGTGAGGCCTGGTAGCTATTGCTGCTGTGAAGCCTGGTGGCTGCTGCTGTGAGGCCTGGTGGCTGCTGCTGCTGTGAGGCCTGGTAGCTGCTGCTGCTGTGAGGCCTGGTAGCTATTGCTGCTGTGAAGCTCAGGATTGTTGCAATTTCAGAGGGATTACGTCGGTGCTGCTGCTGCTCAGGTGTGCTGAGCAGCATTGAGCATGACTCAACATTCCTGAGTCATATATTATTTCAGTGCAATGAAATCAAAAATCATCTTTCAATAACGTAACAAAAGTTGACATCAACAGTAAATGCATCAACTGATATTCATATATATATTTTTCTCCAAATCCACTGATCCTCACCCACAGGTTGGTCAGTATGCTATGAAGTTCTGTCTAAATTAGATATTTGTGGCCTCTCCTGCTGGCGCACAATAGACTGAATGTCAATGTCAATGTTAGTACATCCAATCTGCATGAGGTGGAACAGTGTCTCATCTGTCAGTCTGTTTCTCTTTTTAGATTTGATGTGCTTCATTGTTGAGAAGTTGCTCTCACAGATGTAAGTGCTCCCAAATATGCCGGCCATTGAGAGTGCAAAATCCCTGAGGAGTGGAAAGCGTGACTCGGGTAGTAGTCTCCAGAAGGAGATTCCCCTCTCTTGGCGCTTTGCTTGGAAGAAGGGGTCTGACTGTAGTTCACACAGTTGAATCTGCAGCTCAGGGGGCTGTGCACTGACAGCAGCAGAGAGCGGGTCAGTGAATAACACGATGGCGTAGAAATCTTGAAAGCGGTTCTTAAACTGCTGCTGCAGTTTTTCTATCTGTACTTGAGAAGTGTTTTCTGGCATTCGGGGGCATCTTTGCGCATCTGTTCAAATGAGCGGAAGTGTGCCAAATTTGGACGGTCAGATGAAAAGTCTTCTTTAAACAGGGTTAGTTTACTCTGAAATGCATTCACATGTGCATATAGATCGACACAGTCTGGCTTCTTCCCTGCAACTGCATATTCAGGTGATTAAGATGTGAGGTAATGTCTGCAAGGAAAGCCATGTCGAAGAGAAACTCTGTATCCCTGAGTTTACTGCAGTAAGCACTTGTATCGCATCGGATGCTGTCCTCCAAGAACACTGGGATTTCAGCGAGCAGCGCAAAAAACCTCTCAAGCGTTTCCCACGGCTCATCCACCTTACCTCTGTGTGCATCTGTAAATCCCCATACACAGTGTTCACTTCATCCAAAAAGGCTACAAACGTCTTATGATTGAGAGACCTGTTCCCTCCTCGAATGAGATTGGTAACCTTGGGCGCTCTCTATTGGTGGGCAGCATGAATTACAGCTGGGGTCTTGTTCAAATGAGTTGCTGGTTTCCAACGACAGTGACTCCAATAATTTATTGATTTTTGTAAATTGCTGTAAATTGACTCACGGGCCACACAGAATGAGGACGGGGGCCGCCAGTTGTCCATCCCTGTTCCACAACATCCCTTCTTCCCTTTCTCTCCCCTCACTACACAGCTCACTCCTCCTGAACAGCGCCCACTAGGTGGCCTACCTAATAACAGGATATTAACATTACTGTAAACACTTGTAACCAACATTATAGCAATCATTGAAGAACATACTAAAGTTATGTCTCCATAGAGAAAGAACATAATAAACACATGTTTCTAACTTATTTGCATATCCCATTTTCACTCTTACACTACTAACTCAGTCAGATTGACTCAGACAGGTTGTGAATGAAAGTGAAAGTTAACTCCGCTTGTTTGAGCCCATGACAGAGCATTGGGAGACACGCAGGACTTTATTTATTTATCACAGTAGTGTTAAACCTTCAGATGATCAGATTATTTTTATATATTTTGTTGGTTAATGTGAAGTTTTAAGAACAAGTGTATACATTTGTGAGAGTTCAAAGGTCAGATACAGGGATAATCTGGAGTTTGTAGGGATGTAGTTGAGTCTTGTTGTGCTTTTGTTCTGTATGGCTGCTCTGGGATTTAATAAAAGGTCCTAATGCAGATATAAATATAGTTTAATATAAGTTATAGTGAGTAAATGTGGTGAGGTGCTCTCCTGTCCTGCAGTAACTCAATGTGCTCTGTGATTATCAGATATTTAAATACACGTGTGCACAATGATAACATTGAATAATGTTATTAAATCAGATGAAGGAGGACGTCTTATACCTTTTTGAAGTACTTATCATTTTCTTCTTTTATCACTTTCTGCATGTGTTGTGTATAACTCTTCAGTAGAGGTCTACACACAGGTCTTAGCACAGATTAGGCCGACTGTCAGGACAATCACTGACACACAAAAGATGGTTTGAATGAAATAACATCAGATCACACTTTACAGATCCAGCTGTATCTGACAGGTTAAATGATCCTGAACTAGTTTGGAGCTTTGTACGCTGAAAACTGCTGGAACAAGAGAAATGTGACACCTTTGTTGATGTTTGAACACCTGATGCTGTGTTTCATTTTGCTCTGCTTTTAGTGCTGAGTAAACTCTGCTCCAATCCTCACTCATGGTTTGAGAAGATCTTTATTTAAAGTTATGCAACTTAAGGTTTAAAAGATATCACTATATCACACAAACAAAGCTTTAAAGAGTTCTTTTATCTAAATAACTTGAACCTGCATTCTTTCTAATGACCAGCAGGGGGCAACTCCACTGGTGGCAAACAGAGAACTGGACTGTATGGAAGCAGTTAATAATGAACGAGCTCTGAGACGGAGAAAAGTTAAGATGACTAAGGACCCATGACTGACTGATTGTCTTTTCTTCATTTCATCTGAGGTAAGGTAGTTTGGGTTTTTCATTCAGATGATTTGTATTTTCTTGTTACGTTCAACGGGATGAGGGGAGAAAACAATAAAATAAAACCATGGAGAATTAAGTGTAAGAATAAGATATGACTCCGTACAGACTCGACCATCTTCTCAGATTCCACCATCAGATGATTTGAGAGCTGACTGTGCCCTGGGAAGATGTGGATCA